AAGCTTCTCAAGTAACTTCCTAGAATCTACTAGAATATTTTAAGAATCTTCTAGAGCCTTCTAAGAGAATCTTTAGAGAATCTTCAAAGAATCTTTAGGGAATCTTTAAAGAATATTCTAAGAAAATATTCAAGGAATCTTCTGGAAGTTTCTAGAGACTTCTTTCTAGAAGGTTCTAGAAACTTGTCTCTAGAAAGGTCTAAGGACTATGTCCCTAACAATTGGACCAAAAGGCGGTTGTGCTCCTTTCTGCAAGTCTATGGCGCAATCATATGGTCGGTGTTTCGGTAACATGTTGGCATTCTTCTTTTGAAACATGTCTTTAAAATCCTTATATTGTTCAAGTATACTTGTTGTCGAGATCTTCTCCCCGGTAGTTGGAATTGTATAAATGACAAACGGTGTGCCTTCCTTCGACGATCTTATAAACGTTCTTGCTCCAATGAACAAGGATTTCTCTATTCGGGATTTTCTACTAGGCTTGCTCTTGGGTGGTTTTGTGGGAAAGGTCATCTTTCGCAACCTCCAATCTATGGATGGGTTATGCTTTTCCAACCAAGAAAGACCAAGAATAACAAGATTTGATGGGGTTTTAATAATATTGAAAATAATATGACTACTATGGCCCTTAAATGTCACTTCTATAGGTTTTGATTCATGGGTGACACTACCAGACAATAAATGTCGCCCATCTATGACCTCAACGTGAACAGGTTTGGATTTTTGTATTAAAGGGATCTTATGATACTTCGCAAATTCTTCGTCTAAGAAACAAGTAGATGCTCTTGAATCTAATAATGCTAAGGTTCTCAGTTTCTGAGGGCCAATAAGCAAAAAGATTGTAAAACAAAGGGCAGGTTGAGCGGAAAGAAAGGAACTTGGTTGTTGTTGTGATATTTCACTGTCCAGCCGCACGGTTCCTATTGTGGTTGGGCATCCTCGTTTTCCTGAACAAACGTGCCCCTAGACTTGATAATATGTCGATTTTGCTTCTTGGGGCAATTTTCAACTTTGTGGCCTTCTTCACCGCAATACAAGCATAGACCTTCCTCCATACGTCGCTTTTTTTCTTCTAGGGTAAGGGATTTGACAGGTACTACATTAATCTGCATGTCTTCTACCTCTGAATGTGTATTCACGCTGCTTGCTGACATAATTGAGGCATGGCGAACCGTATGTTGTCTTGAACGTTGGTCTTGGCAGTGTTGGAATAGGCGATTATCGCACTTCACAGCTTGGCTAATAGCTTCGTTGAGTGTTTGTGGATGAGGAAGAGTTAACAGCAAATCCTTCACATCATCCTTTAAATCCCAATAGAATTGACTCATCAACGCTTCTTCGTTCCAATTGATGTCGCATGCTAATTGCCTGAAGTCCGATGCATAGACTGATGTAGAGCGCATCCCTTGTCGTAGTGACCGGATCTTCGTTGTAGTCCATCAAACCTTGTCATCTTCACCAAATGCTTCTACAAACGCCTCCAAAAAGGTTTCAAAGTTGTTTAATATGGACGATTGTTTCTCAAACAAAGGAGCAAATCATGATAGAGCTTGCCTTGTAAGTAAGGTTCCAACAAGTCCAACACGTGACTCCTCCGTTGAATAGCGTTCGGGCTATAAAACTGTTATCAACCTGATTTGATTGACAAATCCTCGAAACTTGGAATGCGTACCATCGAACTTGTTCGGAAGGCTAACTCGGGGCTTCTTATGTTGTAGAACCAGTGGTGCTTGTTGAACTTGAGGTAAAGTTGCTTCTCCAACTGTAGAAGTTTGAGGCTGGTGCAACCTAGATTGTGCCATCCTAGATGCTCCGTCATTATGAAGCCTTGCCACGACTCCTTCAATCTCTGCAGTTCTTTGCGATAACGTAGCGAGGGCATTTGTGATAGCATCCAACTTGGACTTCGAACTTTTCGTCATACTTATGTCTTGGCCTCCAACCATTCTAAGAGAAGGACAGAAATGACTCTACAAGAAGACAATATTGATTTAGAGGAGGGTACTCCGCAACCTCTAAAATGCCTTAAGAGCTTCAAGAAAAGGGGTAATCCACTCTCTCCAAGAAGAATAAGACTCCAATATTATAACAAAAGAAGTATCAGTTTAGAGGAGGGTAATCCGCAACCTCTAAAATGCTAGTACACTTCCAAGCAAAGGGGTAATCTGCACTCTAACGAGGAAGAAACTAACTCTGATATCTGAGGTGAGTGAAGTCTCGACAAACTGTCACGGACACAGAAATACACACTCGAGATCTAACAAGAAGTTTAAGAAGAACTGGCAAGAACTAGATTAATCAGATGAATACAAGAACAACACCAAAGAGGTGAACTAGAGCTCCAAGAGATGTGTTGTTGAGACTGAAGAACTCTTCAGCCTCGATTCCAATATATACTCCTATTTAAGAAGCTTCTCAAGCAACTTCTACCAACTAAGAAGCTTCTAGAAGGTTCCAAAGACTTGCTTCTAGAAGGTTTCAGAAACTTATCTCTAGAAGGTTTTAGAAACTTGTCTCTATAAGGTTCTAAAGATTATGTCCCTAACACAATTATCTATCCCTGTTTACACTATACACTAGATATCTACATTCTGAAAATAATTACTTATTCTGTAAACAGTATATTCTTAAGATATTTGAATAAAAAAAACTAAACAATTTAAAGATAGATACTACATAGAAACTAAAATGGCTATTGCCAAATACAAAGGAATTAGATATTCTTGAAGAAAGGCAAGAATAAAACAAAGGCATTGAAAAGAGTGAAGAAGCCCTCATTCATGTCTCTTTATATACTATCTAATTAAAAGATTTTGTAGCAATATTTTATAGATCATCTAAAGTGTATCCAACTAGCAAGATATATAATTAACTTTCAAAGTAAGTTTCTAACATGTATGCTATATGGTCAATTTGTACAACAAGTGATTAATATGTGTAACATGTAATCAACTTCTTGGCTAAGTTTTCAACCTATCAATTACCTACAAATGCTTATAAGATCAAATCTATGTTTATGAAGCTTCTAAAAAGCAATTCCACAAGATATTATTAAGTTTTCTTACTTTTATTTCTATCTAATTCATCTTATTATTCTAATTATTAATATAAATATTAGTATCTATGATACTTATTTGTTCATTTAATTCAATTTTATCTATACTCTTATAAACTTCTATCATTTCAAACTTAAACTTATAAATTATATATATTATACTTACAAATTAAAACAGCAATGTTCACAATTGCTAGACCTAGTAGTATTTATAATACTAACTTATCACTATAATTTTATAATTTCTAGCTTATCTTAAAATTAGAAAAATAAAAAAATAAAAAACAAATATTATAAAAATATCAATCTCTACATCATTTATTTTTATATTTATATCTTTGTTAGTTTTTCCACATATTACAACTATTATGTAAAAATACATCATTTCATTTCTAAAAAAATATTTTTTTAAACAAAAATATTACCTCCAAACTTTCAAAACTTCAAAAGCCATTAATATATAACTTACAAGTAATTCTACAATCTTTGTTAAGATATATTCTTGAAAAATATTCAAATTATATAATTAAATTTTAAAATTAATATGATTTATTATTTTTACTTAATAGTTTGTTAATATATATAATTTAAATTTTTATTAAATGGATTATAAAAAATATTTAAATATGATTTATAAATTTATGAAATATTTTTATAAATTTCTAAATAAAACATTTCATGAGAATGTATTAAATTTTTACTTTTGAGCTACTTATCAAATATTACATAAAATTTAACTTCATCCTATTTTCTTCCAAATTTTATTTATAAACTATATCCATTAATTTTAGATTTTCAATAGATACAATATATCAATCACTTTTTTACTTCACTTTTTTACTTCTAGTAATAAAGAATAAGTACTTTAAATATGTAGCAAATCAATCCTAAGAATACTAATATCAAATTCTTGTGCTCACTTTGTAATTCATTCATTAGAACAATGATAAATAAGTCATGTTTTGAAGTCTAAGATAAAAAGTTGACAGATCAAGTGGCTAGCCATGAATTTGAATTGCAAAAAATTACGATTTGATAGGAAAAGGTGGCAACCACAAGCAATTTGGAGATTGGAAGGTTTGAATATTAAGAAAATGAGTTTTAAAGAATGGAAAAATCTTAAAAAAATTTGTGAAGGATGTTGTGAATTAAAGATATTATTCTATTTGATGTACAATTTTAAATATCATTTTTTCCAATGATTTAATAATCAATTTATCATTTCATAATTATTTTATTTTATTACACCTTTTACTAAATATAAATATAAATATAAAATATAATTTCTAATATCAATATTTATTTATTTATTAAATACATATAATATAAAAAATCTTTTAACAAATTATTATGTTTTTTAATTTTTAGAATAAATCAATAAAAAATTACAAGATGTTATAATAAGCTTTATTTGTTTTTTATTTTTTATTTTTTTCAAGAAAAACTAAATCATGTATCAAGATGCTTCTTTACCATTATTTGGTTTTTACAATTTATTTCAATATTGAAGTTTATATAGAATTCAGCATACATTTAATTGCCAGGTATAATATTAGTTTTTTAATTCCATCATCAAAACGGATTTGCAGACAGTCTTTTAATGTCTAAAAATAAATAATCAACAAAAAAACTTCAAACCATTATGCTCCTACTAAAAACATTTCTATTAAAATACATGATGCATCTTTCTCCCTCTTTATATATATGTATCGATACTTCTTCTATAATTTTTGTAGCCTTACTTGCAAAGTCATATTACAAGAAAGCTTACCAAGAGAACTTTAAGGCAACACCAAGCGTAATGTCAAGAGAAATTGACATAAGTATGGTTTCCAAATATACTTTAACATTGGCTTGAAAAGCAAAATCTACGAATTGTGAGGAAAGCAGGGGGGAACTTGCAACTGGTCACTAGCGACACCCGACCCGTTGCATCGACCAAGAATTCTTCATTAATGGGGTTTGAGGGCTCCGAGGTACTAGAAGAATGGGTTGTAAGGAAGAGAAATCGTCAATACGACTCCACTTTTCCTTCACGCAAATTGATTTCTGTCAATTCCCTCTACGCTGGAGGAATTAGGAATGGTTCGGAAGTTCGAATTTCCAATGTCTGAGTATCCAATTTGAGACCGGAAGGGCGGATGTCGGACTGAAGCTCTGGGAGATGAGAACGACGATCTTTGAATCTTTGTTGCATTTTGGAGTGTCGATTCGGAAAGCCATCCACGTTCACATGGCCCTCTGTGTTGTGTTGGATGTTGTTTGAAGATTGCAGCGGGGAGGCAGTCTATCCTTTGTAGTAAATCTCAGGTAGCCGAGATGAAGGAAGAAGTAGGTGGCAGAGGTGGAAGGACTGGGAGTGACCCCTCTTTGCCGAGATGGCTGTGCCAAATGTGTCGGCACCCGTTTTTCGTCACTGGTGCGGACATTTATGGAGAGCGATTCGCAACAGAATCTGCTGCGCGCTCAGGTGCGTTTCTCGTCCTGGTTAGTTTAGTGCAATTACTGATATTTATTCAAAGGTTTTTCGTCAAATTTGAAAGAATTCGTCGGTTGTAGTTGGCATGATTCTGTAAATTGTGCTCCTGTAAGCGCAGGAGATAATTTTGTTCCATATGATCGTTGATATGTTGGCATTGATATCAGGAGCGCAAGCATCAGTACATGGAAGTGGGAGCGTATTCTCAGGGAGCCGGATGGATCACTCTTTTGTGGTCCTCCCGAAGCAGGGTGGACCAAAACCAGCGTTTCCACCCCCTCGCCCTAGAACTGGGGGAATACACTACCCGACTCCAGGTTCGTAATCTTCAATTTTATCATTCGTTAGAGGATCTTACTACGTAGTGTCTTTATTAGTCTTTTGAATAGGCCATTGCGGTCGAAAGTACGAAACGTTTCTGCACTTTATGGAGTTGTGAGGAATAGCTGATCAATGTATCTTCTTCGTAGTGTACACTGACTTTGCGATGTATCCAACGAGCAACGCAGATTATTTTACGCTTTAGAATTTCTGTTGCAATGACAAGAATATTCTAGGTTGTACACTGCCGTCAGGATCGACTGCATGGTCGTGCATTTTATAATTCATTGTTAAGGCTTGCAATTCTCAGAGGAGTATATGATTTCTCAGGGGTCAATACAGGTGTAAGTGCCTACTCTTCTCATACATCGGCAAACATTAACGATACTCATGGTGGACGAGCTATGGACGAGTCCTTTGTAGTGTTACCTTCTGCTGAATCTATATTTGAGGCTCCTGGAGACACATCCATGGTTCATATGGGAGGAACTAGTGGTGGCAATTCTGCTGGCCAGCACACCAGCAATGCAAGCTTCAATGCGTCGGTCAATGTTCTTTCTCGTGCGTTTGAAATTGCATCTACTCAAACACAGGTTAAGTACCCCCCCCCCCCCATCATGTTATTTTGATGGTTTTTCGTTCAACGCATATCATACAAACATTTAATACAGTTTAACACTCTTGCATAGAACTTATGGTCACCTCATGCCAGCAAACTTGTAGATTGGAGAACTAATTTTTCAGATATTCATTAGCTTTCTCGTGCTTACTCAAATTTAGTTCTTAGGCAGATGTGCCGAGATCTTGTGTTGAGTCCATCTTGCAGTACATGATACTGTGTGCGCTCTATATCCTCTATCTTTGAAATCAGCTTGAGGATATGGTATTGACCTATGCATTGAGTACACGTTTTTAACGAGCTAACTTGGAGGACTTGTTTAACAGGTAGAGCAGCCTTTGTGTTTGGAGTGTATGCGTGCATTATCTGAAGAATTGGATAAGCAGATGGAAGATGTAAATAATGATATCAAGGCCTACCAATCTTGTCTTGATCGTCTTGATAAGGAATCCTTGGAAGTTCTCAGTGAAGAGAATTTCTTGCGAGAGATTCGGAAGGTGCAACTGTCTCTCTCATACAATGTCAATTTGAATGGGCACAAAACAATTATTTCTCATGAATACGAACCTATGTTAGTCTATAATATGTTTGTTAAAAGCTTGGCTCTTTATTGGGATACATGACATCCAGAAGTTGTACCTTAGTAAAGAAATTACTGTAGTTTCTTCATGTGTTTCCTTGCGTATGTTTTCACTGTTTTTTTTCTTTCTTTTTTTCCCACTTTTCTTTTCACTTTTCCTTCCATTCTGTCTCATGTTTACAAACTTTGTGTAATTTGAATGAATATTCTCCTCTCAACTATTCAAGCTTCTTTAATTTCCATCGTCAGTTCTTTTTAGACGGTGAAGTTATTACATTAGATATGCCTTTAGTTGCAAGACGTATCTATCTCAACTTCTCACATTTTTTCGCTCAATCTTATTCCTTTGTGGCCTCTGCAGGCTGAGGAAGAGGAGAGGAAATTGGAAGAAGCCATCAGGGAGGCTGAGCAGCAGAAGGAAGAGATGATGATTCAACTTCAAGATGTCGACCTCAAGACTAAGAATTTTCAAGAAGTTGAGGAGAAGTATGGTGAACCAAAGTCGCTCCTTCGTAATGGCTTTGTCTTTTTGGGCATTGGTTACACAGCTGTCATCCTTCAAGCAGTATCGTTCTCTCCTTGTAGTACTTCCGCTTTACTGATGTTAAACTTGATTTAATTTGGCTCCAGGTTCTGGCATGAATGCAATGACTTCATGCTGAACCTGACAATTCATCAGGTGAACTAGACAATCCTCATCACATCTCTTCATTTGCCTTTAATGCACTTGCGAATGGTTGTTCCTATGTAGAGGTCTCCTTATGAAGATCAGGTACAGGAGTACAGACTTTAGTTTTCTGACTATTGCTGTGTGGTTTGAAATCCTGATTGCACATTTTTACGGCTTCATACAGGAAGATAGAGATGGCATTCTCGCAAAGATTGATGTTGTTCAATCGCAGCTAGAGCTGTTGAAGCGAACAAATGTACTCAATGATGCTTTTCACATTTGGCATGATGGAGAATTTGGCACTATCAACAACTTCCGGTTAGGTCGCTTACCTAATATTCCTGTAAGTTCTCTGCTTCCTGATATAGCTGGATCACATGTATTAGATTGCTCTAAAAACTGAATGTGTACAATTAAATGTTGATTGTAAGTTCATTTCATGATGTAGAAATCCCGTTCATTTTGACGCTTATCTACATCTATAAAGTTGTACAATCTCCGCAGGTGGAATGGGATGAAATTAATGCAGCCTGGGGTCAGGCTTGCTTGCTTTTGCATACGATGGCACAATACTGTCGTCTAATTTTCACGTATGTTTTCTCGACTTGACCGGAGTTTGAATGCATATATACTTGAATAGACCTGCCGGTTGGCCCACAAAGGACAGTATCTTTGTAAGATTTCTTAAATTTTAGCTAAGTTTTTAAGCATAACCAACTGATTTTTGCAGTGTCAATGTCTTCATCGCATTGAGCATTCGTGTTTGTAAGATTCTGTTCGTCATGCTTTAGCAGGCACCGGATAATACCAATGGGCAGCTATCCTAGGGTTGCCGACAACAAAAACACTTACGAGCTGTAAGTTTGGATGAACTTTCTCCTGTATGCAGTAAAAGATTGTATGTGGTTTAATTTTGCATGAAGCAATCAAGGGCATAGTGATGCGAAGTCCTCTGTAGACATGGGTTTGCAATAGTTTTTTGTGGTGTTATAATCGCGTGAGGTACCAAGTTTAGCTCGCAACAAATGTCGCTTGATGGTGTGTATTTCTGCATACAGGTTTGGACCAGTGAACCTTTTCTGGAGCTCAAGGTACGATAAGGCTATGATCTTCTTCCTTGTGTGCCTGCAGGAGTTTGCTGAATTTGCAAACGCCAGGGACCGGGCAGCCAATATCCCCCCTGAAAAATGTTTCAAGCTTCCATACAAGTTCGTAAACTGAGAGCCCCTCCCATTTCTCCATTTAATTTTAAATTTAATTAATTAATTTTCCACTTGCCAATTATTGACTAAAAGTGACTGATTATAATTGTGATCATTCATCAGGATCGAGAATGACAAAGTTGAGGGGTTTACTATTACTCAAAGCTTTAATAGGCAAGAGAAGTGGACAAAAGCTCTAAAGTACACTCTTTGTAATTTGAAGTGGGCGCTTTATTGGCTAATTGGGAACACTGCATCTCAACCAGCATCATCAACACCTTTACCTATGGGTGCCTCCTCTGGCCACAGTAGCTCCTCTCACGAAAAAGTGGGCTGAGTAAACCTGGTGAGACTTGAATTGCTTCCTAAGCCACAGCAAGGTACTTCGCTATTGAATTGCTGAGCATTGTTCAATAGTTGCTCAAGGTGACATTCATGTAGTCTGCTTCTAAGGGGTTCGTGCCACGACTATAGTTTTGGAAATTCGTATGGAAGTTGTCCGCAGGTGTCTTATAGGCAGCTTAATTGATATTCTGTGGCAGGAATGTAAACTGTAATAGACAGTAGCCCATCCTCGCCTTGTACAACTGGTCAGGTGGATCCTTGGATGCATAAATAGGAAAGAGAAATATGGTAAAACGGTAAAACAACTCCTAGCACATGCTTAGTGGGGCAAAGATGGTACATATGTCCCCATTCATTCGACTCAATTAGATGTACGCTGCAGCTGCATTTACCAGCGTCTCTGGTGGTATATTTGCAGCGCTCATTCTCTCATTCTGCACATGTCATGCCCCACTGGGTAATAAACTAATTAAGCAGATGCCTTTTATATGAACAAGGGTCTCATCTTATTGACTGTTGCTTGTTATATGTTGCCTCCAATTGTACTCAGCCTGCAGATCAGTCTAATTTCCTTCGTGCTTCTCATGCAACTATACCTGGACTTTGCAGTAAGTCTTCGTTCATTTCCTTTCCGGAAGTGGTGTAACAATCGCTGACGAGAGTAGATTAGTACCTCTCGCCAGTAATTAGTGATTGTCAATAAGCTGTTTATGATCTCAGACCAAAACCCATTATTGGGTCTACGGCTTATAGCTTTATGTAACAGATTATCAGATCTTATCACATTCAGATGTTCATTACAGAGTATAAAAGTTGACTAACAATTTTGGGAAGTGATTTTCACCTGCGGAGTGTTAGTGAATGAACCGGCGAGATGTGCTGAAAAAGGCGCTGGTGGGACAAATGCGCAGGCTTCACGCTGTGCACTCGAAAGTTGTTGTCAGTTCCAACCTTCTGAATTGGGCGTGCTCTGTAAGCAAAATCCCTCGGCGTTAAGTTTGGTGTTGGGAACGGAGTTGAACAGTTCATGCACGCCAAGTGGGTCGCATTAAATCCTATCGGAACAGTGTCTTCGCTATTTCAATCCACACTTTGATGGTGGACCTTGATGTGCGCCTCATCTGACAAACGCACAAATAAATGATTTCATTTCCTGAAATGTGACAATCCTTCAACACAAGCCACCATTCGAGGACTGACATTCCTCATCTAATCGCGTCAACCTCAACCCTGCATATGGGGGAACAGGATCTCTACCTGAAGGAGACACCAGTAGCTTGATCATAACTGCCCAACGATTCACTTAGTTTGATCGCGGCGGGCCATGACATAGTCACCTATCTTTAGCTCTAGATTCGATGAGGCATAGAACTTGTAGCACAATTTACCTGATGTGCCGCTGCTGCCCTTTACATTGCAGGCACCGAAGCCATGAGCTGAATGTTCGCGGGCGACGGCTATGTATAGCACACGCATCGGCATGTATTCTGAGGAATCTTGCATCCACGGTCCGCTCCTTTTCTTCATAGCCAATTCCATTGCTTTGATGTGAATTTCTTCAAGCCAGGGAAACAGGGAAGTCGTAAATTTTCCATTGAGGCTGTGTAGTGTTTGCGTATCTCCGACTAATTTCTTAAGCGTTGTTAGCGCAACTGTTGGTCTCTCCGGCCTCGGCCGGCCATTGAACTGTCGCTCAATGTTACCCATCCATCTCTCTCCTCTCTCTTATTCTGAATTTATGATCTGTGGTGGAATATAGATCTCCTTCCAGTTGTGTAGGTACTCTTTCTTCAGCATGATTTGTTACTGCTTTCACAGTAAACTTGATCCATTTATAAAACCAGCAATGCCCTTGTCCATCTCGGGTCTAAAGTTTTGACGAAGCGATTTAAAATTCAGGTACTATTGGAATGCTGCTTAAAATGATCCAACAAAAAGTTTGGTCTGGGCCATAGCACTACTCTGTGGCTATTGGTGCCAACTGATGAGTGGCACTTTCTGATGTCCAAGGTTTTGAATACAATGCTACAATTACTTGGCTCTTACAACCAGACTTTCATGTGATTTTTCTTAGACTGCTATTGTATGAAGTGGCACCTCAGTGAAGAAATGAATGCAATTACAATACAACTCTAAACATGAAAAGAGGTCATACCAATGGCTACACAATGACCAACAAGATTATTTACTTTGTTCGAATTAGAGTCATAGGTGTACATCACAAGAAATTAAATAACAAACTTGAAATAATAATTCTAAGAAATATGCATTCAGGAAGACTTTGCAAGTAGTTGTTTACACAGATCTGTACATGTGCTGTACACCATAGTGTCTTGGTTTAGTTACAGTAAATCTAATATTTCCTCATAGCTTTTCTCTGGTTCTATCTTGTTTCCCTTCTTGTGTACAAATTCCACAGTTGTACAGGTCAATCTATAAGCGGAAGCTGGTGAACATGCAAAATTGCTATGTGTGGACAATCATCACTCATAGATAAGTCATCTATATGTCTGAGACGCCTGCGTGACGGAATTCAAGCCAGATGCTGATTCATTAACGGGCGATGTCGTCCAAGAGTACGAGGATCATACTTGGGGACGGTTTGTGTTGGTAGTGGATGCTGTCAATTGGTGGCGGACGAATGATGCCTGAGATCCCTGTCGACAAACGGAAAGTCACAGACAAGTAACAGGCTCGGGCAATGTTACTGATGATACAGCCCATAACTTCAGGCCGGGATCATGTAGTGTTGTGAAGATTTAAGGTCAATTGCACAATAGGCTATTGCAACCGTGAAGACCCACGCGAAAAATTGGGACTCTAGCCCACTGCCAGTCAAGCTGTAGATCGACAGTAGAACTTTCTGAAGCCCAAAATAACATAGACTCGTCGATCAAAACTAGCTCTCCTCACAGAATTAGAGACTATCAGCACCTGATCTTTTCTTCTTGATGACCTTGCTTGGGCATGTACCTCTGCTCAGTCGGCATCTCAGGTATAGAAATCCCTGTACCTGCCGGATGTCGTATCTCGCGCCGACTATTACTACTAATACTACTATCGCTATAACTACTCCCATACCTTGACCCACTTCGCACTTCACTGACGGCTGTTTCTTGTTTGTTCACAGACCCTAATACAGAACCTACCGCTGTGGAATCAACACCGCATGGTGATTCATTCTCAAAGCAAGAGTCTTGAAGTTCTTTGCTAGTAGAAAAGTCATTTGGGTCATGAAAATCCTCTTCCCAGGGATTTGATCTTGTAGCCATGGACGGTAGGCTGTCGATGAACTCAATCCATGTGGTTGTTTGTAGCTCAGGGTGTTCGTCCTCACATGTGTGCACAACTGTCTCTGGATCTGTAAATGATGAATTCCATCCTGCGTACATTGGAAGGAGATCCGCGATTAACTCGAAACACTATCAATCAAGACAGCAGGTCTAGAAGAGGTTTAGCCTAGATAAAATTCCTTGTACCACAACAATGTACCCACATCCGATCAGAAACTGAAGAATCCTACGAAAATCTTGATAAACTTGTGTACATAATACACCCTAACACTCAAGGACAGCCCAAGAAAGTGCTGATATTGTAATGCATAACTTCAATCAGGCGAAATAAACAGCCTAAGAAATTAGAGAAAGGAACTCACTGCTCATATGGAATTCTTCGGCTTCAGCGATCCAAGTAGGATGATCGAGGGTGGTGTCCACATGAACGTTATCATCCATCATCAAAGCAATAGCATTCTTAGCTTGGAGACACTTGGTGTCTTGCTCCGTTGAAGGCCGATAGACGTTTTCACTGGCAACTATTATCAGAGAAGAATTTTGACTTGTTTTTTGCTGATATTGAACATGCTCATTGTTAGAAGGCACATATTCACAATTCGAGACATTCTGCGAAGCATCCAAGACATTTGTGTCCTCTTTAACTGTCTCTTCAATGTCAGTGGCTGAAGCTGATTCTTTCTCATCACCGCTTAAATTCATGCCTTTATCGTGCATACCTTCAGCCCGATCTATCACCACAACTGCGCTATGTGCAGCGCCAAAATGCTCCGCAATTACTTTCCCATCTGTACTAACTGAGCAGCTTCCATTTCCACTTCCACCGCCTCGATCAGAATTTTCAATTGTCGATCGGATAGGTCTCCAAACTTTTTGAGGCAGGTGACGCACTGGTCCACCTGACCATGAAGTCTGCTTATTGAGAACCCCACGCTCTCCTCGATCCCCAAGAGAATAAATGGGTCCTCTCACATGCTTTATATTATGATTCATAGAAGGTGTCGATCTTAGAGACAAAGCGCTGTAATTTGCTGAACTTCGGTAAGGATCCACTACTTGCAAGTTCGAGGATTTCTCATATTCAAATCGGCTTATCCCTTCATGCGCCATCTGTTGTCCAGCTATTGGGTCCCGAATGTATTGGACCGGAGGAGCTGCAAGTACAGCAGTATATGACTGATGCGTCGGTGAAGTACCAATCTTGGAGCTAGCGCTTCCCCAGGAAGCATGCATGTAATCACCAAGAGGTACAGAAACCGAACCAATCATAATACCTTTCTGAAGGCCTGCATTTGCTGATTCAGTCGCATTATTGTTGACTGGACCTCTTACAGGAGGTGTATCCGTCACAATCAAGCCTTCGGCCCTGGGTTCGAACCCAATCTGGTAGCATCCCCCTCTGTCACTGTTTGAATGTTTCACGGAACTTGAGTTCAATTCACACGGATAGGAAGCCAAAGTGTACATTACGCCACTCTTTGAGTAATAAGCAGAATGCGAATCGGTAAGGGGTGGCCAATCTTCAGAATTTGCGTCAAGGCTAAATGATGTTGGAATGCTGCGCTGGCCTCCAGTGCCAGCTACCACCTCTGCAACCGATGGAACTGAACCAGACAAAGCTTCTTTCGTTCCAAAACTTCTGAATTCCTCATTTTCGACTCTGCTACTGCTGCCAGTGGTATCAGCATCTATTTCGCGTGCTAGTGTTGTGTGTTCTCGGACTAATTCCTTCGTAATTTTGCTTGCAAAAATATCTTGATCCGGAGGATTTGCAACTTTTACGTGATCCACTACCGGATGTGTTTGTGCCTTCTTAGCCCACTGCTGGGTCGCTGGAAAGGGTGCAATTCCTCTGAGACTCGCAGGTTTGCCACGGTAACAGCCAAGAACAGGGTTGCTACCGCGTTCGTTATTCGACGTGAACGGTGATCCAATCAAGGACTTTCGTGATGTTCTGTAAGAACTTTGTTGTGCTCCTTCCTGGAACCTTGAATCGCAGACCCAACTACCTCTTCGATAAGAGTCCTGGTAACCCACCCTTAGGGGGTCTTTGTAAGGCCTCAGTTGTGAGCGCTTGCGAGACGCAACAGCACTTCGGACCTGCTCTGATGTACCACTCACCCCTCCTTCACCCTCCTCCTTGACTTGGCTGGAAGTTGGGAAATTGGAACATCGCTCTCCCTCCTCGCCATTGGAAACCAGATCGCATTCACTCTGTGGCATTTGATCTTCGTCGACAGAATCTGGCGCATCCTCTCTACATATCACACGCATGAAGTGCATGCCGTTTTCCTTGAGTAGATTTGCATCTTCGCAACCAACATTGTGATCTCTCTTATCGACATTTTGAACCTGGCGATTGACCTCCATTTCAAAAGACTCTACCAATATATTCTCCAGCCCCGAAGAGTTCACAGAAGCTGAACTGGCAGTAGGGGAATTGATTTCTTCAACAATCTCAGAAGGATTCTCATCATCCCCTGACTCATTCTCTTCACTGAGGGCCAAATAAATAGCACCAGCTTTACGGTCTTTCAATCCCTTCTGTCGAGATTTCTCCTTCTTCTTCTTTTTCTTTGCTACATTCCTTTCTCGTCTGCGAGCTCAAGTTTAACATAGACACGCTTCAATGCAATAGATCTCAGACATCACATAAATAAATGTGAACTAAAAATAACTGCAATCACATTCTATCTCGAAGTTCACTGCTTTTCGGACATCAATGCCACAGAGCCAAAAAAGGGAGAGAATGCGATTGCCCATTCTATCCAGGTTTAAATTCTCCACTACCTTCAGAGACACGAAACTCTGAAATAATTTGTTCACTCCAAAACATAAAAAATGGAAAAAATAGATAACTATGATTCAACTTCAGATATTCGAGGTGAAGTGGGAGTATTACTTCCTCTGTGCAGCCTCCTCTTCTTTCACCAGCTCCTGTTGAATGCGTAATGCTTCAGCATCTTTGTCCGCCATCCAAGCCTTCACCTAGCATGTAAGGACCTTCAGATATCAGCTCTACTAGTTGGAGGCATGAGAGAAAAACCTGGAATTCAATGGCCACAAAATTTGCGAAATACTGAGCATAAGATAACTTCGGTAGCCTCTCCCTGCCCGTTCGCTATGCAATCCTTACTGACGTGAGAGGGAAAAGTACCTAACCAGTTGTCCAATTTACATTTGATCAAGACAACAGTAATATACGAATGAGATCCACACTTTGAATTCGTATAAGCTATTTCTGCATGTAGGCTCTAAATGAGCAAAATGTACTACACTTTTCAATCCAGAGGAAGCTGAGAATGGTCTTACCGTCTTACGGACCTATCAGTTCATAAGCTAACAAAAAATACCACTAAATATAGATTTTTTTTCTTTAACCAAGTTTTTCTCACCAGAGCCTGCTCAACAATAAAACCTAGTAAAGCTACCAGGTTCTTCTCTTCTATTCCAATCTTGCTTACATCACGTTGGGAGCATAAGAATGTCTTTTCACTGGCATCATCCAGTGCGGACAGAACTTGTGATGAAAACAAAGGCAATTCATCGCTCTTCTCGTTGTTTAACATGTCCTGCATCAAGTCCAACATAAACATCAAGTGAGTTTGAAAGTAAGTATGCCAATGACTACTTAGTATTATTTGTATTTACTTCAGCGAATTAATTCAATTGATCATTTTAAAGGATTTAAGAAGATCTAGGGGTTAAAATCTGCAAACTATTCACCTAAATAAAACTTGGGTAAGCCTAACCCTAATCGTGCACTGTGCGCAAAGTAACAGGAGAAAGTACTTGATCTCTATTGCAGTTAACAAGTAATTAAAAATAAGAGAAACATACGCATGAAATTAAGACATAAATTTCCGCAAATCTATGATTTCATGACATAAGTCAATTAAATTCTAAATTCAAAACCACTAATATTAGAATCCACTTCAATACATACAACATAAACCCTCATACTAATGCCAGCAATCCCCTTTGATGCACACGTACACACACACACACACACACACACACACATATATATATATATATATGTAGAAATGACTGGTAAGCAGAATCTTGCAGATATTGTGGTCCTCTATCATCAATAACCGGTGAATTTGCCTCAACCCACCTTTTCTAACCCCAAATAAATCTTCGACTTATCTACTGTTTACAATCTTACAGCGAGCTGTCTAGATCTCTCTACGTTCATGTTCGTGGAGATTTTTCTAGGGTGCTGAGCAGATTTCTCACAAAAGTTATTTATTTTTAGAACATCCAATGAGTAGTTGAAACAGAAAAGGTTTGATATTCAACGAACAGCATGAATAGATTTAAATGTTGATGGACAGGAAAAGCAACCAAGGTAGTAAGTGATAATTGAATTGTTAATCTGGTGTGACCAAATTGAGTATACTCATTGTTATATAATCATTTCTATCCTCCAAACACTGAGCAAAAAGTGAGATGACAACATACAAGAAGATCTTGTCCCGCTTTCAAATATGCTGGTGGAAGAGTGGTTAAATTATTCTGCCTCTTTAAAGCAATCAAGTTGCTCATAACTGCTTCCCCCGACAGATCCTGCATCGATGGCAACGCAAGTATTGTTCTATTCATTTTAGTTTTTACAAAGACTTTCGGTTTCATATTAATAAGGCAAGGATCAAGAATTGGTTGTTGCATAGGTGATCTCTGGAATCGTGTCCACAAAATTTTAAGATTGAAGCATTCAGTGTAGATTACTTCTTAGGAAACTACAATGACCATTCATCGGATATTCGTTAAGCAAGAATAGAGTTCATTGGTGATATTTGGTACCTCCGAAACAAATTCTCTCGTGGAAGCGAAGATCTGGTACGCCTCCATTTGATTCAGCTGCAATGGCAGCCATGAACAAGAGTTGTGAATACATGGACACCTTGTTTCATACATTCAGCAAAACTTACACTGAACGTATTTGAAAGGCAAATCACATCGTCACGAAGGTAATTAGGGAAAAATTTTAACTGCAGCCCTTTTCTAATTTATCCATCACCATTCTAGAGAACCTTACATGAAAAGTATTCGTGAAATGGTAACATTCTATGAGGAAAATTTGAGAAAATTTTGCAAGGAGGATAATAAAGTACACCTTATCCCAGAACGCAGCAACATTTTTCCTTTTTACAGTAAGATCTTCCTGTACAATACATCCCGATTAAGCACTACTGTGCAACATTTTCATCTTAACCATGAAAGAATTTTCACAAATTCAAAGACTTTCTCATTGAAATCTGTGTGGCATGTACTACAGTAAACAATTATAATCTCGAGACCAAAGTCTTCAACAATTAAAGCTCAGGCGCTAGCATCCGATGAAAGCAGGACTTTCCTGAATTAGCACATGGCTCCGAACAGGATCTGAGATAGAATTAAGAGAGAGGAGAAACCTTTTCAATCTGGGAGATTCGCCGATGTGTGCGGGTGTGCCGCCGATGATTGAAGGGGGAGAAAAACTCCCGAGAACATTTTTCACATTTTTGCAGTTGCACTTTTGACGGTGGTAATAAAGAACATCCTGGTGAATCAGTTCCCAGGTTCTGTTTCCCTGATTGTGTTGAGATCCAGAACAATATAGGTCCAGAACAGTCATCAGTTCACCTATTGGGAATTACGTCTAACTGAAAAACAAAAAGACACCTTCATCTTACACATAGCCCTTGTACTGACTTGGACATTGACATAGTAACAACAACTTCATCAAGATTATCAGCTCGAGTCTGATTTGTCACCAAACATCAACAACTAAGAGACTGATTGCACAGTACGTTCATTCACAACAACCCAGGAAATGAAGAGTCTGAAATGAACATTCGAAGCTAAATAAACCTACAAAGGAATCCAAGTCTCAGAGATGCAAGCCTAGTGGTTGATGCTACAAGCTCGTTAGCTGCTGTGATGTTTGGTGTACTATTAGATCCTCTAACTCTGAACTTAAATTTTATGTAGTGTTTATAACAGGCACTTAGCGCTTCATTTTGGCAATGAACTTGAGAACACGTTAGTGTATATAATAATCCGACATATCTTTAAAATACACACCGAATAAGAAAATTCGTGACAATAACTCTTATGTATCAAAAGGTAACTTTTCAACACTGCAGTAAAAGAAAGTTCACCTGGATTTTTGGCTACTCCAGCTGAAAAAGCAGCCAAAGTTTGTGGAACAGTGTTTTTAACTGTTTGTAAGTTTCGATGTGGGAGATCGCCACCCCCGTTTGTTCCAGAGGTGTCTATTTCTATATCAACTGCGTAAAAGATTTCTTGCCATTTGAAACTGATCTTACGAACAAAGTGCAGTGCCCAAGCAGGCAAGACAGAAAAGCAGGAACCTTGCGAACAATAAATCATGAAGGTCCTTTATCAATATAAAATTCATAGCTCAACTTACACCGAAGGGCATGGTCGCATACCTTGGTAAGAATTTACAATCGCGTTCTCTTCCAGATTTTCAAAGTCGACTTTCAAGCTTTTGACGTACTTGTTCGTAGCCAGATGTTCTGCTAACCTTTGAGGAGGCTGGTCACCAGATGTACTGGATAAGGACAAATTTGGTTCCCGGTCAACTGTTTGGCGGATGAAGGTATTTAAAGGTTCGTGCACCTTTCTGTCAGACCTCATACCCTGCAAGCCTTCTAGGGGTGGCGAATCGGTAACTTTCGTGTTTACGACTTTTGCACTTGGCTGTGAGCTGAGCTCTTTTTCAGCTTCACTGCAAATCTTCCCTTTCGCTTGCTTGGATCTTTTTATTTCACAATCTCTTTGCTCGATTTCTGATAAATTCGAATTGGGAGAACCCTTACTAGAAGAACTCAGATGTCCTGAAGAGTTTCCATCTTCTATTGTGTTCATTTCACCATCTTCAGCACTCAGTCTCTGGGAATCAATCCTGATAATTCCCTTCCGCTGATTTTCTGGGTATCCCGATGAAGTTACTGCGTTATAACCATCAAGTCTGCTGTCCTCAGTGAGCAGCATCTCTCTGTCCATCTGATCTCCTGAAAATTTTGATGATTTAGGAGCTTCAAGGTTACCGCGCAAGTGATATTTGTCATGATCATGAGCTGTTACTCTTGAAAGCATTTCAGGTGAATCTTCAGGATGTATTTTGACTTCAGACGATATTTGACGTGCAGCAGTTTTCTCCGTCACAACCCCGGGTAATGCATGCGGTGAACTACCAGATGGCAGTGCTGCTTCAAGGCCTATGAAAGATGATCCACTGATAATGTCTTGGCTGACAATGCGGCCAACTGACCTCAAACTGCAAGGGAAAAGAAGAAACTATATACTTATTGTCGCAGGTCAAAGTCAACTGATCTTTCCTTCCAACGTCAAGAGAGTAAGATATCCTCCATGAAAAGGCCCATGGTCTCTTCTATGAAATAAGACTTGCTTTATCTCCATACCTATCAAAAGAAGAAGAAAAACAAAAAAAAAAAAAAATGTATATATATATATATATGTGTGTGTGTGTGTGTGTGTGTACACAAGAGCATGGATGAGACCCCCCCATTAACTCATATCATTACCATAAGCAGGGTGATTATCTATTAACTACGATTCCAAAGCAGCCTTTACTACGAGAAACTACTCAGGGTCACGGAAATTTATGACGCTCAGACCAATGCTGTCCAACAAGGAAAAGGTGTCCTTCAGATGCACACAGAATACAAGTAGACTGACTTCTTGCAACTACCACGCACCTGCTTGATTGAAAGCCTTCAGCTTCAGTTGCAGCACTACTGAGGTCTTCGTTGAGAGTCTTTGAGCCCCTTACTTTCTCCATATCACCAGGACAGCTCGTAATGCATCTGAAGTAGACTATTTACTGAAAGCATGGTGCATGCATTCTGAAAGTAGAAAGTGAGAGTTAAAGCCTGCTGATGTTCTAGGTGATTCTAAGATGTGTATATTATGACAGTTTCAGAAAAAATCAAAAGACGTTGGTGAAGGAACAAGTAACTGAGGACCGAACTTAATGAACTACATTTCATCGAATAAGGTAAACCTCGAGGACTACGTCAAGATCATAGAACTACAAATCCACCAAGTTGTTGGGGATTACTACTGTGAGCTAAGAAATCAGTAGGTGTCCAACACTGGAATGCACTATAATTTCGACCATTAACTGTTAAGGCCGTAAAATTGTTGGCAACTCACTTTTCTTATTCATCCATATGATTGTTGTATTCTTTTTACTGTAAATTATCACAATGTTGAAAGTAGTCACAGACAGCATGAGAGTAAGCAGATCACAAAGACAACTGTAGTCGAAAATTGAAGCTGCTACGTGTAGAGAAAACATAAAAGAAAGTCATGTACAACTCTCTCCAGATCTACTAAACCTACATTGCAAGCCACATCATGTGAATATCCATGAACCAACAGTCCTCAAATTTTCAATGATATCCGTCAAACATGACATTCCATCGATGTAATCTACCTTAATATCATGCAAATGGGCTTACCATAGATATGAATCATGTGCAGGATTATATATATATATATATATATATATATATAGAGAGAGAGAGAGAGAGAGAGAGAGAGATGATAAGCCCATTGACATGACATTATGGTAGCTGCAGATGTCATGTTTAATAGATACTGATTAAAATACAAAAACATTCAAATGCTTCAACCCCCTGATTTGAGGTTCAAGGATTATCAAGCCAATAACCACTGAGAATAGGATCACAATCTCGCAAAGAATCAGATCCTTCCTGGTTTTGCTATTCACGTCAACTATTCAATCAATGTTGCAACTGGCTCCAGCGTCCAGAAACAGAGGACTTGTTTGCACTTCAGACATTCCTCCATAAGTAGAGCATTTCGGAAAGTACTCATAACATGTGAGGAAACAACTATTTCTCGGTCAACCTATCCTTCGAGATCCTCGGATGCAAACAAAGAAATTTAATAACCTGATAACTTGCATTTAAGACAAACTAAATATGACATGGTAATTCGCATATCAGCATCTAAGAAGTCGCATCGAATGATTGAGTATGAAAATTTCTCAACATTCACACGATTCAAGCTCTGCTAACCATCTCAGGAAAAGGGATCCGATACTAGATAATTGCGCGTTTTCAAGTTGCGCTTGGGACTCTGACCAGAAGTTTCTGTGGAAGACAGCTCAAGTAAATTTGAAATCTTTCCAAAAAACTGGTGTGCACGTGTAAACTGGTTACCATCATAAATTGTGCAATATCAGCACACTGCAAACAAGAGAGAATCTGATAGAGAAAAATACCACGGGTATGGGGCGGAGATTGTTTTAAACTGATAGTAAAACACGGAGCGCTCGCCACGAGTCACTCTCTCCAAAATGCCAAAGAGCAGAAAACTCCGTAAATTAGTCGACATTTCTAAGCCTGCAAAGACCCATAACAACTTTTTCAAATTCGTATCTCGTCACAATACGCAGGGCTTTGGTTTTTGATTGAACTGTTAAGACAAGTGATTCAACTAAGAAAACGAAAGGCGCTGGACCTCTCATGCGAATTCTGATGACTACGGAGATGTTTCCACAAGCAGCTGCTGAAAATGTGACAAAGATGCCAGATGCAAAAGCATATGCACGCAATCAAGCTACTGTACATGAACTACTCTTAGTCGATGAAAATTTAGATGGACCAGAGTTGAGGAAAAAAACCCCAGAAAACGAGAATTGAAAGCAATGCGAGAAAGCTGAAAATCTAGGTACATCAGAAGTGCAGCAGATGTAATGAACATAGTGCGAAGAACTCGTAATTTTCAAATGCAACTGCACTATAAACCATTGAATAGTTGAAGATAGAAGACGATGCTGCCCTACACATATTCCGAATATAACAGGAAGGAGAGAGTCAAGTGCAGGAACTCCAAGCGGTTGATCACACAGCAATGCATTCTGGCAAAATACAGGTAGAAGAAATGAAGGCTTCCATCTCAAACATTTCTGCAGTATATTCAAAGGTCTGGAACTGTGCTCGAATGCTGCCTCAATAACATACAGCGAAAATACGCTGATGTAAAGAAAAATAGCCACCTACACCATCGACATTGTTTTAAGTCGCTGAAAGTTACAACTCGGTCATAAAGGCACTTCTTCACAGGGCAAGCATGGGGAGCCAGGGTAAACTGAAACAATGAAGTTTCCCATAGAGCGCCTAATTATTTATTTTTTAAAATACGCCATAATAAGAACCACTCCACTCGTGTTTCAGGAGTACGGAACATACCAATCCTAAAGAGGCACAGAGATAAAAGAATTTCGAGACAACTGCTCGTATTTCACATTCCTTCTAAAAACAGATTTGTACGAGGGAGAAAACTGCAAAGCCGAGAGCTCGTCTGATTTTGTAATTTACTTCCTAACGTCACCACAAAATCAAGGCTCGGCCTCGACCGAACAGCAACTAAGTTTCATCATCACAGCCGAGCCAAGACCCAAACAAATCATAAAGAGCCCGGCCAAGTTAGAGATGTTTCGCTTCACTCCAAATCTTTCCCTCCACCGAGACGTGCAATCACTCCAGAGAAGCTTGCAATAGAGGAGCATGGATCGTCCCCGTAAAGACAAGGATCGAAGTCAAACAGAAAGCAGAAGAGGGGGGAGGGGGAACGCCTTGATTCAGCGCTCCAAGACAAAGGCCTCATTACACGAACTGCTCCAAGCCGGACCTACTAACCGAACCGGACCGCTGCATCTTGCCCGCACCTGCCAGCTGCTCTCTCGGTTCCCACACCTCCTTCCAAACCTCCACTAGACGTCTCCCTCCACCTCCCTTCTCAACTCCCGAAACTTAACTGTCTCTTCGACACTCTTCGAAGATGCGCCGCTCGTTCTCTATCTCTCCACTCGTGGCTGCGGCTGCGATGCTCATGCGATTGCTTCGGCGCCACCTGATGAAGCTCCCAGCGAGGCTGCGATCTGTTGTTGATTCTCATCCACTTCAAGCTCTCTACATCACTGGGGAGATCTGACTACATGCCGTCGTTTGCAATTTGACAAGGGCCCCCGTCTCAGAGATGTCAGTTCTGCTTTTTCCCGGTTTCTTAATGCTCGACATTTCATATGGCGGCTCCAGGGGAAAAATTTCATGAGCAACTGTGTGCAGGCGACTTTAATATCGATCCTTCGGTAAGATGTTTTGCAGGTTTGAGATGCTCTTGGTTGTTCAAGCTTGTCTCCTTGATCTTTGTATGTTAAGAAGAACCCGCACTCAGCTTGAATCGTGTTCGCTCCGTGTGCTCGCTACTGGTGTTGAGATGCTTCCATGAGTGGAAGTTCTATCATAATTCTGCGGAGCGGATACTTTCGGAAATTTGATACGCCAACGACTCACCTTTAATCTTGCGATGTCCCGTACTATTGCTTTCCTGTGCATTGCTTGGGCTTCGGGAAGTGAGCCACAAAAATGCTATTGCATGGGCTTCTAGAACTTCTGCCTTGGTCAATTAGCTTGGTAATACCTCTCTGAATCCTCTCAAAACAAACTTCACTATCTTTACAATGAAAGACAGTAGAAATGATACTTGTCTACCTCCGAGTGATCAACGCATAAATCGGTGAGTGTGCTGTCGATTGTGGCATGAATTGAGATTGTGCAGTTCAAAGTGTGTTGTGCAAAAATAAAACCTAACTTCAGCAAACTGATTTATTCAATGCATTCATGAAACTGTATTATTAATGAAAGAAGTTAAAAAAAATTTGGAAGATTAAAATTAAACCAGGGAGGTGTTAGTTCATTTAGTTTTAAGAAAACATTCTTAATGAGAAGGAAATAAGTCTTATAATATTATTTTGATTTTTTTATTAAAGTGGATGTATTTAGTTGAGACATAAAGAAATTTGATACTCGTGAAATCTAGTGCTAACATCATTTTATCACATTATGATATCTACTTTCATGTGTAAAATGACAATTTTATATTTTCTACTATAAAATTTATTGGAAAAATATTTTGATGGTGCTATTAATTTTAACAGTTTTTAATATGTAATTTAATCTTTAATATTTTAGAATCAATCATAATAAATAAAAATATATGTATTCCCTAAATTTTCATTAAATGATAAAATTATACATACATACATACATACATATACATACATATATACATACATACATACATACATATATGTATGTATATATAACACCTAAACTAATTCTACTTGTTTTTGATAATGTGAGTTTGAATCAAAATAAATACGAACTACAAAGACACAATACAAATGTATTTTTTGATTAACTAGTATTTTTTGGTTAACTATTACATGATGTTATGGTTTGTTTTTCAATAGCATCAACACAGTATAAAATGTTTATATTATTTACCAAAGTTTCAATAAATGTTGCTGCCATTTAATAAAGATAAATTTATTGATTTAAAACTCTACAATCAAAACCATCTGAACTCATATTATGAACATGACCATTTTATAAATTTTACAAATATGTTGTTATCCAAGGAGTTAACAAATGATGTTTTTTTCTTCTTCAGAAGGAACTTTTAAATGAGATATAAAAGATGAAAATTTACGCTGAAATGGTGAATAGTAGTGAAAACCAAACCAATGAGAGCACAAATAATCCTTCTAAATAAAAATGTCAGAAAGTTTGTTTAGATTAGATTGAAAACATAGCCAACGTACCTTTAGTACCAAGGTGTTTCAAACCGCCTGGGTCAGTACCGTACATACATAATAAATTACTATACATGTACATAATATGAACGAACATATTGGTTTAGATGGTTTGGATGATATGGATGAGACTCAGTCTGTACATCCATGACAACAGCGGGAAGCACTACACACCATTTTGTCTTCTCACTAATGTTGCGGTGCGAGCCAACGCGACCGCGACAAGCATGAAGCTCTCGATCAGGCCGGCGCTGATGAGCGAAGGGATCTGAACGGGGAGATGATCCAGAGACAAGGGACAGAAGCATTCCAAGCAGAAGAAAAGAATACGGAGATAACAATATTGGGACCACACTTCTCGGCTCTTGCCATCTTTGGTCAGATTAACATTCCACATAGTGTGTGATTAGCACAGACTTAGAAGTCCAGCGTTTGCGCGGCGAAATTCCCACACATACAATAGTGCTTGTGTAATGCGGAGAATGCGAGAGTGTATCTTGCTGCGTGGAAATTTGAACTGGAGTTCGGGGAGCGGAGAAGTTTTCAGTTCAGTTCATGGTTTCTTACTTCGCAGTTAGTAGAAGGGTTTTGTTTACTGGAGACACTTTCAGTTATGTTTTCAGTTGCAGAGCACGTAAAGTGCTGAAATCGTTTAGTGTTTAAGTTAGAGGAGGGAATTTCTGGATATTGTGGGGAGGGGGTGTGCATGGCGATGGGTTATATCGATTGTGGTGTGTATTGAATCGTATTGTATTGGAATTTGTTTTTGGTCATGGTGGATTGAGGTGTATTGTAGAGACCTACAGATGAAGTCAGTTGCAGTTGGTTATACAATTATGCGGGTCAATGTGGCATTCAAATTAGGAGCATTTGCGATTGTATACAGACGACGGATTGTTGGGTGGTGCAGGTCCGAATGGTATTGGTTTAGGAGGTCCCAGCTTCGTTCGATACTTAAATTGGGAGGTGGCGAATGAAGGATCCGTGATTATGGACTCGAGTGCGAGGTGTTTGGGAAATCGACGAGCGCCCTTGCGAACTCTGAAGGCATTGGGATCGACCACCTGGGCATAGAGGGAGTTGAATTTCGTAAACACCGTGTATGATTCATGAATCTGTGTCTGATCATGACAGTGCATCATGTAGAAGGGAATTGGAGCTTGATTCAAGTGTTCCTTGGACTCCGGACTTGTTGGAGGCTGGACAGTGGAGGCAGCATTGATGAGGTCTCGGAAACAGAGTGCTTATGGCTGCTTGGAAACCAATGGTGGTGACACAGGAACCATGTCGCGAAAGGACAGTGCTTCAACGATGCTGAAAGTGCTCATTAGGGCACAAACTACGGGGAACGGGTACAGGGCTTTACGACAATTGCCTGCGGCGATTTATTGCAGACGAGGGGGCACGTCGCAAGATACTGCTTCTCTGTGCATTGAGCTTGAGAGCGCCTTGGTGGCTAACGATGTTAATTACTCCCAGGAAGCGCTAGCGAATTTGGCCCAGAATCTATTTGAGTGGAATAATCCCAACCACCAGTCGAACCGGGAGGCTTTTGTGCTGTTTGGGGGGGATATTGTGCTCCTTAGAGCATTGCTTTTAAGTTTTCCGATCCTGGGGGACGTTGATAAGCTGAGTTTCACATTGAAGGTGCTGTACATCCGAAACGAATGTTTGAACATGTTGCGTGAACTGTGCTTTACGGTGCATCCTTTTATCGAGTATTTGGCTGCTGATGAGGTGTTTGTGGTTAAGCTTTTTGACATGATGCGCTTCCGCAACACGTTCAACACTGGTGAGTGCTCCCTACCGACTCTTGTTTAATTCGATTGACGCGAAATATCACCTTCTCTTCTCGCGCTTGTGGTGCACCAGCGAATCCCTCTTTCACCCGATATTGTGGTGTGCGTAAATCGCGTGGTGCCTCCTGCTCACCGTCTTATATCGCAGTGGCCTTGCTTGTCTGGTACAATGTTCACTAATCAAACATAATTTTGACCAGTACGACTAGCTCGATCTATGAACCTAAGCCCACGGTAGCTTGAGAGGTTGTTTTCTGGAAGATGCTGTGAGGTGGGCCACCGCTTCCTTTTCCTACTGGTGATGATCCTTTACTAAAGATTTTCTCGTTGCTGAATTTAGGCCTTAGTTTAGTGTCATGTTTTAATCTTCGCACCATAACGTAGATGTTAAGACTTTTACCATGAAACCCACCTAGCAGTTGAATATGACCCTTGATTCTCCTCCGCTTCTATTGCGATCATGAATACACACTTTTCCAGTTAATCACAGTAGTTAGGAGGCGTACCAGTTACGTCCCCCCGAAGTCAGGTTTGTGCACAATTCAATAGTTCAGACGTTCATAATCGATGATCAAGTTGATAAACTTTAATTAGAAGCGGACGTCCTCCATTTTTCTGTGCAGCTGTTAATCTTGCAGAAGAGATTATGGCAATTCGGAAAGACCTGTGGCAAGTACAGGATGTTCCGAATTTTACAAGTCTAGTTTGCAATTTCTCCTTAAGACAACTGGCTTCATTTTGCCGTGTTCTTGAGATGGTGATTATTGAACCCGAGGTACACGCACTTTTGTAATGGATAGTGCTCGTTTTGCATGTCTGTTCCATAATCTACCTTCGATGAAATTCGAAAAGTGGGTAGGCGTACATCTCCATTCACCAGGTTACGTTTCTCAAAGTTTCCAGTCGTCTTCCTTGTAAACTTGCTATGAGTGATAGCTGAGCCTCAATTGACTGGATTTCATACACACGACACTGTGCTGCACGATGGACATGTCATCTCCGAGAGTTCGATAACAGTGTATTATCAGTTCTTAGATGTTTAGTTTGTTCACCTAACTAAATGCAAGAGATTGGCTTTCTTTCTTTCTTTAACGCTTCAATTGTTTTCAAAAGGACTCACCGATGAAAATCCCAATGGTGGGTTAGAGAGGTCAGATGTGTAGCTGTTGCTTTTATGGTTGGTTCCAACGCAAGGAATATATGGTTGGGCCAGGAGCGGAGTTTAGAAATTTGTGTGCAACAGGAGTCAAGGTCTGAAGAGCCAGCATGGACGACGACTGACAAAAACCACGAGGCTATTCTTCTCGTCCCAGACATTCTTTCACACCTGGTGAAACTCTTCACATTGGACAAAGTGTCCTCAAGTCGAGAAGTGAGACAACTGAGCACCTTGAGCAGCTGAAGGCCTAACAAAGTATGGTTTCAGTTAGTTAGGTTTTCTCAAGCACTTGATTTTGGACTCATGCACTCTACTCTTGCACTCGGGTATCGGTACTTGAATTAGATGAATTAATTTAAGTCTGCAGCTATAAAAACAATTTTACTAATGCCTGTAAGAGTTTCTCGTACGTATCTATCTTTTTTTGTAGAACTACAATCTAGCTCTGCGTGTGTGGCTGCAGGATAACATGTCATCCGAACTTTCAGAGCTGGCATTATCCTTGTCCATGCGAGACACAGTAGAAAGAATGTATCATGCTTTCCATGTTACTCGAGGTCAATTTTTTGATGAGAGAGGGGATGTCATTCCACAATTGGAAGGTCGGCAGGAATCCGATTCTGCTTCTTATCTCCAACAAGAGAGAGCAGGTCCAAGTTTAACAGATGAGAGGATTTTACATTGGAACATCATAACATTTCTGGATCTCACTGGTCTCTCTACCGGCGTGGTACACCTGGCCGCTTCTGTAAGCGGTTTTTGAAATGACAGCTTTTTTGGTCATGGGTTATTTCGCTTTTGCTTTTCAGGAGCAAGAAATGAGTTATGTACGAAAGCAAAGAGGGAAAACGAAATATCCCATGACCAAACAAAAATGCGCTTTGACATCGATGGCACAACGATGTCAAGCCACAGTGATAGTCCGCTGCTTTGAATATTTTGCTTAGAAATCGTTATAGAGAAAAGGTAATTGTTATTAATATGTAATTGAATTGTCGATTGGTTTGCATCACAAGATTTAAAATGTGATGGTCTTTTACAGGTGCAAAACTCTCTGGCAGAGCTAGGCCTGGTGAATGTGTTGAATGACATGTTCGACAAACTGGACTGGGTGTCGACGGTCACGTGCTCACTCTCGAGGAATCCATAGCCTTGGTTGTGCATGCAATACGAAGTCGGTAAGGAAATCAAGGTGCAATATCTCAATGTAATAGGTTTCAAATTTCTGAAACTCAGCGTGTCTAGGTCCTAGATCAGATGGAACAAGATTGGTATTACTTGTGTAATGAAAAAGTGGAGTGAAGGACTTGAGGTCATTTAAATCCTTTGATGGATTTTTGGTTTTATTTGGAATGAGAAACTCTTCTGAAATAAAGTTGTGTGGTATCTTCAACACGGAACACGCCCCTCTATCAATTCGCAGAGTTGGATTCATCTGAATTATCTTTTCCACCTTTGTCATTGTAGACCTCTCACTTGTCCAGTTGGTTTCAATGAATGGTGTTTTTACGTTTGTGAGTGAGAATTTGATTGTACTCCCCTACTTGCAGGCCCTAAATATACAATACCTGAGGTTAATTCACAATTTTTGTGATCGCGACAGCTGCAATCGAACGAACAAGCAGCTATTATTAGCTCCAAGTGTCTTCCATGTACCCTTAAAATATCTCAATCATTATTCATCAGTTGCAATCATGTTTTGGTGCACTTTATCTACATGAGCAAAAAATTTGAGATCAAACCCTGATTTTTATTGCATTTTCTTGCTCGATATTGGTGCTTTGCTACACTTAAAATAAAGTCGTTTGTGCTCGAGATCAGGAGAGCAACTCATTTTGGAGCAAGGATACGAAGAATATGGAGTCAAGTGGCCTTAGTGTGAAGATACTGAAGATGCTGGTGAATGATCCTGGAGGCTCAATGTATCGGTAGTCCCATCCACGATCTGTAGGAATCTGTTTGTGATGTTGCGCATGCAAATGTAATGTGGATAGCAGCAATTTTCAATGTGCATAACTAGCAGAAGTCTGATGGAGGTTCTGGCTTTCCTCATGTGGAAGCTTTTTTGCGAGGTGCTGAACATGAAGATCAAGTAGGTCACCTTACTCTCACAAAAAGCCAATTTTGGTGTTACCAATCAGAAGAAAATAAGATTTAGAATTAAGTTCAGGTTCCGTCCACAGTCTTGTAAATGATTGATGTTGGGTAGTTAGAAATGATCGGGGAGTGGTCAATCATTTATGTCTAACATCACTGTTGGAGTGAGCAGGAAGTTGTGGCATCAATTGGTCTGTTGGAATATCTACTATGTGAAATTCTGAAAGGAGGATTTCGATGTGCTACCTCTCTACACGTTTGTAATTTGGTGGCATTTTAAACACGGCCATACTATTATGCCATTGCAGAACGTCCCAGGCACTGTGATCCTTGCAACTCAAGTTTTTTCATTCATGGTTGTGACTTGATCAACTTTGATCTTTTGGGAGAGCTCATCAAGTTCAACAAAATTTTATTCCAGCGTCTTGACTGCCTTTTAGCAGGACACAAGTTTGACCAGTTTGTTGAGGTACGTGCTGAATTTATTTGGAAATATTGACATTCAATGATCAACAATTTAACAGGAGTGGATATTTCATAAGCAAAATAATATGAACTCTTTTGGAAGACTGTCACTCTAAATGTTTCTGATCGAGGCCTTGTCGTCGGTGCAATTTTTTAAGTCAAATACGGAATATCCCGGAGAAATTGACAGTTTTATGGAAATTGACGGCAGTAGATATTTCATAAGCAAATGAACTTGTGATGACTTCTCATCACATACTTGTGGGCTAGCACTGCTTCGCCATTGTTGCAAAACTGTAGGCCGTGGTTGTAAACTTGGTAGACTCGAATGTGTTGATCAGATCTGTGGTGCTGTCTCTGGATTACTTTAAGAGATGTCTGGTAGAGACAACACACCCTAATTCAAGTCCATATCCGCGCTCATTGAATGAGACAAGCATGAATAAAGACGGCTACAGTTATGGAAGCAAGGAGATAAAGTACTGCAAGATTGCTGCCTTCGTCTCAAACAATACCTTTCGTTTACTGAGAGACCTCATGTTCGCTGTGCGACTCGATGATATCAACTAGGTGATTCGTCACACCCATCATCCCTTGTTTCTCAAATCGAACGAGTCGATTCTTGATCATCCTATTCACTTGCTTTGTTCTTGTGGGTATTCTCTGCATTAAGACTACACTCAATGCAGTAGCGGCCATCTGCCACCTCCTGCTTCATCTGATTGAAGGATACGGTTACCTTGAAAGTTACTACAATAGAGTCTTGCAGTGTGATGTTTTTATCCCTACTCCCTATGTAGCTTCATAATTGGGGCACATTGCAATTGATGGTGATGGTGATGATATGGGACGTATAATGCAGGGTAATATGTGTTTTGAATACGCCCTCATCATTTTCATACTTGTGGAGAGGAACGGAGAGCTCCCGGAATACCTTCAAGCCCTAAGGGTTGCTAGCATGGTTTCCGATCACTTCTGGAGTTTTGGCGCAGCTACTATCTCGCGAGACGAAGGCGCGAATGCGTATCCCTTCAATTCTCGACCAGCTACCTTTTTCATATTGGCTTCACATTGTAGACTTGCTTTGTTCCCATCCTGATTCCCCCTAATGCTCCTGTACACTTCCCCAATTGAACTCCTCGACGCCCAGTATGACTGCGATTGAACCCACTCTAGGACTGATTCTGATATAATTGTCATTGTTGCATATTGTGCGTATTGGTATTTGCATTGTGTCATTTAGCGTCATAATGACGCCTAATTATACTTTTGAGAGCATGAAAAGTTGCTTTATGGTGTAGGAGTGAGGCACTTAGCGTTGCACAAGAGATAAAAGAGTAATTTCCGGCCTGCCTCAAGTGTGTGCAAATGAGTAATTGTAAAATAGATATGAGCTCATCTACACGGTATGTTCGAATTTCACAATAATGTGGAACGAACTGCAATGAATAAAAAATAAAAGTAAAAGAAATCTGTATACATTTCCTGTGCGACGATAATGTGAACGCTGCCACATTGTGCCAGACAAATGGGAACATCTGCACAGTCACATGCTATCAACTTGATTAAGAAATGGTCACAAAGCTTATCTTAAATTGTCCAGAACACGTTCAACCCAGATATGCAATCTACAAACTTCAAACATCACACATTGTTTACATCTACTTTCCCTAAGTCTAAATGTTACATGTAGATTCGCGGCAGCTTCGAATCGATCCCTGCATCCAAGCACCTTCTTCCACAAAACAATCTTCCAAAATAATTTTATTTGATTCCCATAATATTATTAACTAATCAACTGGATTGTAAATGAAATCATTTAACAACCCGAACACCGCAGCTTTGAATCCAAAAATTTGGAGTCACCACCATCAATAAAAGTGGACACGAAAAATTGAAACGGGCGAGAAAAATAAATCTTACTTCATTTCAAAAGTTCTAATTAACGGGAGATCTAAATTGACACATCTGGTGAAATCCATCGTGATACACACATTGCACCACCAATCAACGCCACCAAGTTTTGTGACTCCCAAACTTCTAGCTGGGCTATTTAAAACCTACCAGCCAGGATCGAACTACTTATACGGATATAAAAGTGAATGTCGGCATGATAGTTCTACTACAAACTGTGCATAAGCAATGCTCAGCTTCATCAATTGGAAGGGTGAAGGCTAGGGAGCAGATGACACTCCCGTAGAAGCGACGAGAAGAACATCAATCGACCTTCTTCGAAGGGGTAGTTCCAAGCAACGACGGTATCCAGGCCGAAATACTCCTATCAACACAGGTAGTTACAAATCATAAGATAGAAGAAATACTGCCAAATACAAGTTGAATCAAGAGAACAAATCGTTTGCTGAGATTGCTAAAGATATCCTCTGGAACAGCACGATATCCTTCAAAGATAAACGTACTGTACGACAGTTAATAAGGCTATTTCCCACTAAAATATTCCCTCTAGAACTCCGATACGTTCTTGTGCACCGCAAGTATATCATCAAGTAGACTTCATATCATCTTCAAGCAGTTTGACAACCAAGCAGAGAGAAGGGGGGACAAAAGCTCAAACAAAACGAAACGAGACGTAAACCAAAAATATCAGATTCATTGAGGTTAAAGAGTCTCTCACCACGGACTATCAGTCTGTGGGCGCGTCTTTGTGTTTTGAACTCGTGGAGGCGGATTTTGCCCTCCGACTGATGTACCTGATCGGTCCTCAAGTCGGTAACTAGTGCGCTTCTCTGAATGTTTTTCGACAACACCATGATCTGAATCTCCTACCGGTACACCCCGAGACCCTGACTGACGTCGGATATGTGCTCCAGCGGAACTAGACGGTGGAGGCGGGTACTGACCCTGGCCAGCTTGAGCCTCTTGAGGAGGATAGGGAGCAGTCTCAGAACCTGAAGCTCCTGGTGGAGGATACGATTGAGGAACACCCTACACGAACGCACATTTATGTGGATTAGAATTACTCTTACTGTAGAGTAACATACAGAAGGGATTAACATTAATTACTTATCACTGAAAACTAAAAAAAATTATGTCATGCCTGAAACGCCCACCGGATTCTCGACACACAGCTAGCATGTATCCTGCTATTAACGTCGTAAACGTGCAGGTTACTTATCCACACCGACAGAGGCTGTGAATTGAACACAAGCTCTCTAATAGCGGTACTATTCTAAGCGAAACTATCTAACTTAGCAGCTAATACAAAAAAATGAGTTTAATAGATAGATGCAGAGACGGTTCTGTTCACTTACACTAAGAATAAGAACCCAAGACTTCGCAATCTGTCTTAGATGTTCACTCAAGGGTGTGTATTCATATAATACAAAACAATTAATTGAAATCAATAAACCCAAATAGATATTACACAAATGCTGCGTAAAAAGTGCACCTGAGGGAGCCCCCGGGATAATCCTTGGGCAGGAGTTCGCGATGGAGCTCCGGACGGGTTTTGCTGGACTTTATTCGACTGAGATGCTAGAAATTGAAGCAGCTCATAAAATCGGGCCTGTGCATACATTGACCCTTTCTGCCACCAGAGAAGGGCAATATCACCTGCTCTGGTCCTTACTTCATTCAAGTTGTGGTCAATTTCTGATTCATATTGGACCACGAACGGTCTTAAAAGCGTCGAGTAAACATAGGTTGTCCCCTGCAAATCAGCATTGCATTTCTGAATGAGAACGCCACCTTCACCGCTTACATTCATGAAAGCATATCTAATCAGTATCTACAACATCCAGCTGGACCATTTCTACCAACGAAACATGATTCCGAGCTTCTGAAGTCGTCACATCGACTTGTCTCGGTCCCCCAAATCTCCAGTACGTGAACTGAAAGATATATGTCAGTTAAACGGGCCCTACCATGGTCTTGGGGTACCAAAGGTAAATGATAAAGGCCAGCTTTGCCTCACTGTACATGGGCACCCTGAAAAGAACAAGAAATCCACTTGAGTAAAAAGTAAATTTACTTTCATGAGCTACGACTCACCATGCCCCTCATAATGACATCTAAGCTCCGCCAACTTACACCAGCTCCGGAAAACAACGATAAAATATTTGGTTTCACAAAAAGTTGCATATAAACAAAATAAATAATTGCTTTCCATGAATCTCTAACAATTCATTGTATCGCAGTACATACGACCCCAAATGGTCTGTAATTCCCATCTAAGTTCGAGATAGAAATATCTACAATAACCCCACAATTCATCAACTGCATCAACAGATTAATACGCATCTATAAATTGCAGCAGAAATGAAGACGTACCATGAAACAACAATGTCTGCCAACCTTTCAATAACAGTCACCACAGCAATTATCATCCTGCAATGCATTGCAAAGAAGCAGGCATCATTTACACTAAAATTCAGTACGTAATACAGTTAACGGGGAAGCACCAAAAATAGTGACGTCACACTGGAACCGATTCAACAGTTCAATATAGTGATACAAACGACTAGATAACCTGCCACAACTGATCAACGAATCCCTCGTCAAATCATATAATGAATCAATATCTTGCCTAATACAGTTTGTGGTGGAATATTAGTGTGCAGCAGGCAGCTCGACGACCCTAATTTACAAATCCGGCGTATGCACATCATCTACTGCTACTTTTTCCAAAAATCATTGAAACAGATCAACAAATGAAAACACTGGGTCTCAAGAGTAGGGCAACAATCTTCAATAGGGAACACTTACCAATATTGGCACCAGAATCGCAAGTGCTCTAGGTCTGGCATCGGTCTCTCCACTATCTTGTAACATTCATAAGCTGGGTAAACGTATCCAACTGCCATGCTGCATTGATAACAAGTGCACCAAAATTGAAATGACCCACCACCCAGTTCGTGAAAGGAACTGGAATAGCTGTTCCATCTCTTATTTTTCTTAAACTATGGAAGTTTTCAACTAAATTTCCTAGAATATTTAGCGGTGTCCACACTAGCTAAAATTCAAAAAATAGACAATGTCACAAATGTCAAGGATAATGTCAACGAAGGCACATGCGTGCACAGCATTCATACGATGCACATGAACTTTCTGTATCTACCTTTGCCGCCTAGACAGCACCCACTTTCCTCGAACATTGTATTAGATACACCATAAACGAACTTCCAGGAATAAACTACCCATCCTGCTGTTTCTTCCTACGAACAAAAAGCCAAGGCAAATGTAGAACACTTACATTAGTCCCCGTGTAACGAAAGATCCAATCATCTTGAACGGCTTGCCTTTCTTCGCTTGTTCTCAAATGTGTAACATCAGCTGAAGTCACAAACAAACTCACGCCTCGGAGTTTTAAGAAAATTCAAGCAAGGCTTTAACACTCGTAGACACTACAAAGTGTTTCTGAGCCCCTTAAACCACAAATCCTTCTTTCCTTCGCCCTAAAACCTCTACTGGGTAGACTGTGGGACCAATTGAACTGAAAAGCTAAATTGTCAAACCTCGTCACATGATCCTGCTGGTCATGAACTACTCCAAAGAAATCAGACGTCAATAAGATTCCAATCAGAGACCAATTGTGCGCCGAGTAGCCGAGTAAGAATTCACTGGTTCACGCAGCAGCACCCAAATTCTTCTCTCTACCAACGGGCGCCCTCTACCTCTCCCTCCTCCTACTCTTACTCACCAAAAACACCCCCAAAATCCCTTGAGAAAAATCCACTCCAGTCATTCAATCACACACCACCATCACAATACGTCCTCCACCTGCCTCTCTCTCAAAATTCAAATCCCTGTGACTCCAAACCGTCCCAAAACCACCACACCACACCACAAACCGTCCCTTCACGCTAAAAACACGAAGATCCACACCATAAAACAATTCCCCTTCATTCTCATCATCATCAACAACAAAAGCCCGTGATCACGCGGACTCCAAACTCCGCAACCGACAACAGCGTCAAATCCCTTGGCAACAGTGGCAACGTAAAACTCTCTCCGCCTTACCAAGTAACCTTTTTTCTCTCTAAAAATACCGTCCCCTACACTCAAACCTCCACCATTACTGCTCAACTAAATCCCCAAATTGTCAACTACTCCATCAAAGAATACCCTCTCCCACTGAAAACGCGTTCCGCAAATTTTGAAAACTCAAACCAGCAGTCCACGCAAAAAATCCGAGATGGCGATTTCAGGAAGGTGGTGACCACGAGGGGGTGGGGGCTGGCGAGCAGTTCAAAGCAGTGATCGAAACGGAAGCTACCATCCCCCCCGCCCTTCCTGAGGTGCTCCGGGTATTATCAATACAATAGTGGTATCAAAAGAATGGTGACGTTCTTCAACGACCTCCTCGCGCGGATCGAGGTCCTAACGTCGTCGCTGGTTCTAATCCAGATCCCCAAGCCGTGTGCCGCTTCGGGTCCCTTCATCTCTCTACACTATTTGAAAATAGTGTGGTTTGTTTTATCTTAAAATGTTAATACAAGGGGAGAAGGAAAGTGAGCAAAGCATTGAATGGGTGGTAAAGTGTAATCTTTTTTTCTTATTATTGTTAAATATATTTGAATGTTAAATACACCCAAGTTTTTACTAAATCAATCCATCTATCCAAACCATCATGAACAAATATATATATATATATATATATATGCAAAAATATATCTTTAGATTCATTTCTTCACTATTAGATTTACAACCAATAAAAACCAGCCACATTCATCATGATTGCGATATTCATCATCAAGGATGGACCTATTTAGTAAAAGCATGGATCTATTTAATATTCTCATAAATATATTATATTATATGGTGGATTTTGCATTATTTGTAATTTAGATTGGTTTTGCATTGTGGTCTTTGGTTATGGTAATATGTTGGTAAGAAGAGATTGAAAGGAAGAAATATATCAAATTTTAAAATAATTATTTTCATAAAAAGATATTGCAGAAAAAAAATGTAATCTAACACATCATGTTACTTTGATGATTTGTATTTTTGGTCATTGAAATTGTATGTTTAATTCGTGATGTATGTGTGGTTATGACATTGATTGATTAAGGGCATTAGTTTGCTGTGTAAATAATTCTTTAATACAACAAACTTAAACATTTGTGATTAAGAAAAAGTTATGTTTTAAGCATAATAAGCATGTGTATGTAAATTTAATTTTTATAGCCCAAGTTATAAATATTAACATTACTATGGACATTGAGTAAAAAAAGAATACTAATCCTATTCAAAAAAATTCATATCAATTATAGCAATAAATTTGACATCTTATCATAGTAAATAAATGTTTAAAAAAACATATGATGCTTAAGTGGTTTAAAATTTTAAAACAGTAAAATATTTCTTTCACGTAAAATTAATGAAGGATATAAATATGGCAAAGAAAGAAAAATAATGAATATAAATCTGATCGTTTTTAGGATTTTATAAAAAAGAAAATATAAAAAATTACATTACAGATATCTGACACATTTTTTGAATCAATTTTGTAAAATACAGTATAGTGAAAATTAGATTGAGTTATTAATGTATAAAATGTACATGTTGAATGTTTGTAACATTTTGACTTAGTCAGTAATAAATATCCATCCATATCTAAAAGTTGTTAACTTGGATTTTAATACATATTTTAGAAGAACAACCTTAGAAATCTAAAATTTATCTTTTGTGTGTACTCAATCATGTGTGCTTAACAAAGCTTTTAATTCATTTTATTAAATAAAATAATTACGAATGAATCGTAAAATTTACAATATTACACACTAATTTTCTTAAATTTATGTTTTTTAAATATCATTGCTGGAAAAAAATAAATATAACTAATTTTAAAATGTCGTAGAGAATATATTGCCATTTGGCATAAAGTATATCTCACAAAGCACCATTTAACCTATTGATGTATGTGATTTCTAAATGCTGCACAATACATTACCACAAACAATCAAAAGAAAAGAAAAAGGTGTATTAATTATTATAGGAAGAATCTATAATGATGTGCATCCACGAGTCTATATGTATATATATATATATATATTTCTAAAAAATAACAAAATCATACTGTTCTAATGCTACATGTATAAGAAAAATAGTTTATTTTTCGACAATAATATCTGCAAAATTAGTATGCTACACCTTATGTCTAACTTCACTCATGAAAAGTCAACAATCTCCCAAAATATAAAATATTTGGAAGGCTATTTTATTGTATCATAACTATCAAAACAAAATAGGTTATGACTTCTAAAATTAGCTATTTTAAACAAATTATATACCTCTACTAAAAAATCACAAGTATACTTAAGCATAAAATAATATTTGTTTATAAGAATTTCTTTTGAACGTAGAAAGTATATGTATATATACATATAATTATCATGAAGTTTTATATCAAGTAAAATAATTCTTAATAAATTAACACATCTACTATATATAAAAACTTAAGTATGAGGTAAAGAAACAAATAAGCCTTCTCATTGGCCATGAAGAAGGAAATGCAAGGAATAAGAGGAACACAAGGAATACAAAAGCACATGAATTTAGAGAATTCAAGAATGTGGAGCTTAGAAACATGGGGCTTTTTAAGATCTATAGCTTAGAAGAAACCATTACTAAAAGCTATTATAATTTTTTTGTACCTAAAGGCACATATTTTCTATATATATATATATATATAATTTTATAAAATATTCTTATAAGGTTAGACTTTTAAAAAAATAGAATCTTATATATATATATATATATATATATATAATTATTATATTTGATCAAAAATACTATCTAAAATATAAAAAAATTATTATTATTTTTGTTTTTTAAATATATTTTTAAATTTAGCTTTATATATAAGATTTATTTCTTATTTTAAAATATATATCAAGATTTTATTTTAGAATCAAGATTATTTTTATGTTTGTAAGAAATATTTATTTCAAAATTAAGATAAAAACAAGGATTAATATTATATTTTCGACCAAAGTATTTTTCAATACTAAAACCAATACCAAAAATAGTTTTAAGTCATCAACCATAATTTTTTTTTATTCTTAAGATTAAAAATAAGGTTTTGATTTTGATTCCTATTTGATTTGAAGTTATTTATTTTTTTTAGTTGAAAATAAATTTTTGTTTGAATGAAATAATTTCTTTCTATAAAACTAAGAATATATAGTCAATAATATATTTTTTATTACTTCATTAATATCTAAAAAGTCATTATAATTAATTTAAGTTAATACTTTATTATTATAAATTACTTTCATTGGCTTTATAATTTATTTTAAATTCTATTATAAAATTTAATTTATTTTTAAAATATAATATAAGATTAAATATCTAAAATTATTATAAATTAAAGAATTAAAAAATTGAAATTTATTATACATATTATTATAAAAAAATTATATTTATTTATATTTATTTATATTTATTTTTTAAAATTAATAACATACTGTCAAAGACATCAACCTCAAAGAATTAAAAGGTCAATATACTCTTGTATTACTTAAAAATACTAGAAAATCACTCAAAGATGGCAATGTATTGAACTAGAATGGCTATTGCCAAAGACAAAAAGACTAGAAAGTTTTGAAACAAGACTAAGGACTAGAAAGACATTGATAAGAGTGAAGAAGACTTCATTCTTATCTCTATATATGCTCTCTAAATAAGAACTAGGTTGCAATATTTTATAGGACTTTCAACACGTGTTGACTTTGCTAGACATATGTTTTAACTTGCAAGGTAAGTTTTCTATATGTGTGTCATATAATTAGCTTGTTCTACATGCTAGTAATAGGTGTGTCACGTGGTTAACTTGTTGACCAAGTTTCTAGCCTACCAATCAACTATAAACATGTGTTAAGTCAAAATAGCATCTATGAAGCTTCTAAAAAACTTTTTAAAAAGATATTATAAAATTAATTTATTTTTATATACTTCTACATAATCATATAGATAATTATTGGAGTAAATATATATGCTTGGGACATTACTATCCATTCTAAAAAATAGTTCAACAAGAAGTAGTCATCACCTATTATGGATCTTATTTTATTTTATTTTATTTTTTGATGGATGTTGTCAATGAAAAGTCTCAACCTTCATCATTACATTTGTAAGATTTTTTTCTAGCTTCCATGTGCATTCACTAATGTCATATTTGCACTAATGAACAAGATATTTCAATCTATTTTAGTATCGCCTGAAATCTAAGACTCCTTCCACCTCAAACTTTTGATTATTATCCACTTCCATAAAAAGAGGTTACATTTGTCTTCTTTCCAAGATATTCACTATCTTATATGGCTGAAGAAGAGATATTTATACGTGCAATACAAGATAGATCTTTATAGACTTCAGAAGGTATAGTTGATAAGCAACAAGTTTGGCTTATTTATAAATAAAAAAAGGTCTAAGCCTACAATATTCCAACTTGTCACAAGGACAAGTAGTCTTGATATTGCAACAAAGTAACCATACCTTGTTACTTAAATTGCATTGTTGTTATTTCTTGTAATAGACATCTATATTGATCTTTTATTGTTCTTGAGTTTCTTTTAATTGTACCTTCATTGTTGCATGTAATATTAATAAATGATTTTTTAAATCTTTTTCCATAAGATTATCAACTTTTGAAAAGTAAAAAATATCATATTATAGATGATAATCATAATTAACAAAGAACGATGTTTTTTGAGTAAAAAAATATATAAAAGTATCATATGCAAACTTTGCTAATGGCAAAAGAGTTGTCCAATCATCTTGATGATAATTGATGGTATTTCTCAAATACTTCTTTAAAATTTGATTCACATAATTTGTTTGTCTATCAATTTATAAATAAAAATCCAAAGAGAGAATTATAACCACCTTTAGAGTCTTGAAATAGATTTTTTAAAATCTTAATATAAATTGAGTCTCATTATCAAATATAATATCTTTGAAAAATCCGCAATAGCCATATATATTTTCAAGAAAAAGCTTAGCAATTTCTTCACTTGTAACAAATTTTTTACATGAAACAAAATATGCAATCTTAATAAAATAATCTATTATTATAAATATAAAATCATATAAATCTAAGACTAGAAGATTCGTAATAAAATTCATAGAAATAAAAGATCATAGTTGTTTTGAAATCGTAAATAGTTGGAAAAATCTATGACATTAATGACGAGGAGTTTTTGATCTTGAAAAAATATTACATCATTGTATAAAGTCTTTAATTGCCTTCCACATTTGATGCTACTACAAATCTCTTGATATTAGGTTCAAAGTCTTATTGTATCTAA